AAAAAAAAAAAAAAAAAAAGATTATGTACATTAATTACATTGATTTTTATTAATTTACTATTTTTAGGCAATAATTAATGAAATTGGTGGGAAAATATTTCTAAAAGTGAATTATGTTAATCCTTATTATATATTAATAGATACATCGATTCTTTTCCTTATAAAAATGAGGAACGGATTTTATTGATGCAATGAAGCTCAATCCAGCTCGGACGTGGCCAAATATTGGGCCGGTTCACGACTCGGCCCGGCCCGCAGGGCCAACCGGCCTAAAATGTTGGGCCCGTAACTAGCCCGGCAATCTCTATAGGCCAGTTCAACTGAACCAATCGGCCCGGCCCAAAGGTTCGTAACGAACTGCCAGTGTTTTTGAAAATTAAAAATAAAAAAACAGCTATGACCCGTCGGAAAATCCAGGACCGGCCCAGCCCGGCGAATAAAAAATGAATAAAAAAACGACCCTTAACCGGCCCTTAAGGGATTCCGGGCCGGTTCGTAACCCTTAACCGGCCCTTAAAGAGCAAACATACTTCAACAACTCCTAAAACCAATTCTTACAAACTTTGCCCAAGACAAGTGTTCTTCATCAGCAGCATCTACACCATCTTACATTAATCTACACCATATTTCTTAATATACTCCATAGCCATCAATGAATGATTTTGTCATTTCAGTTACAAATGCCAGCAAAACAACAACCATTAGTGCTGATCATGAACATACCAACAAACTCAACTCCCATTTTCTTGATGATCAGTAGTAATGTGTAAGTCGTTAGAGTTATTATTAGGAGACAATATGAGATTTTTCAAGAGGAAGTTCCTCAAGTGCATGTTAAACTCCTTAGGTTTCTCGTGAACGAAACCGTGGCCCGTGTTCTTAATCACAACTAGTTCAGCATTCTCTCCTAAGTGCCTGCAGAATAATAAAATTAATAATCAAATCCAAAATCAACCCTTGTTCATTTTCGTTCATTTATTTTGAAGATAAATTGTGTAAGAAAACTGAACTAACAAGCCTGGATTGAAAATTAGGGAGATGCTACGGTCCCGTTACGGGACTGATTTCGTCGGTGTTTGTAACCGTTAGATCATCATGTACCCGTCGGGGATAATTGATCTAACGGTTATAAATCCCGACGGAATGATTCTGTAACGGGACCGTAGCATTTCCGAGAAAATTAATCACAAAAAACTACAAACCTTTTCAATCTATGAGCAAGTTCAATGGGAAATATGCGGTCTTTATCTCCCCAGACAAGTAAGGTTGGCTTCAAACCAAAAAAAAAAAATCATTGTAAATTGACATATAGAATTTAGATTCTACAGTCCCGTTGCGGAACCATTCCGTCACATGTTCTAACGGTTATAAATCCCGACGGAATGGTTCCGCAACAGGGTAGTATTTTCCTAGAATTTATTTGGGGGAAATTAAGAGTGACTATATATGTAATGTACCTGAGAGATTTTGGGAAGGTCAGAAAGCTTTCGGTCCTTCTCCTCAACATATTGCTCGCACATTTCCTGCCCAAAAACAAAGGCTTTTATAGTTATCCGGCGTTATCCTGTCCAATCACGCTACTATTTTGAAGTTCAGTTAATCAATCCGAACGGAGTAAGAAATTTACATGAATGAAATCGTGGAGCAGACAAGAGGGCAGTCCCCTGGGCGGCTTGACGAAGGTGTAGCCCATGAGTTCCCTCAGCCTCTCCGCCGTCCGCGGCACCAGCACGGCGGCCGCCTCCTCCACGTCAGCCACCGGGAACAGCCCCCCCTTCAGATCCGTTTCCTCGAGGGACACCCCCGCGCAGCACAGCACCAGTCGCCCCACCCACCCCTGCGCCGCCAGGCTGTAGGCCACGAACCCGCCGTAGCTCAGCCCCACCGCGGCCGCCACCGCGGGCACGCCGTGGGCCTCCAGGGCCCGCCGAACGCACCGGGCCTGAAAGCCCTCGCTCCGATCGGGCCGGGCCGTGCGGGAGTCCCCGAAGAAGAGGAGGTCCGGCACGTAGACGTTGAAGTGGGGGGCGAGGGCGGGGGCGGCGTCGCAGAACTGCCAGAGGGCGTTGGCCCCGAAGCCGTGAAGCAGGAGCAAGTCGGGCCGGGCCGGGTCACGGGCATTGGGGACCCAGCAGTGCATGACGGTGCCGTCGCCGAGGTCGGTGGAGGAGGGGCGGAGGCCCCACCTGCGGAAGGCGGATCTCAGCCACCGGCTTCTCCAGGCCGTGAGGCTGAAGAAGCAATTATTGGACCTCGCCATTTTCTTCACTGTCAAAACACACACACACACAATGTATGGGTGCGTGTGAAAGACAAAAGTCAAATATTGACCCTAGCTAACATTAAGAGACAGAGAGTTATTGTAATATTGGAAAATGTTACAGTCCAGATACGGAACCATTCCGTCGTGATTATTAACCGTTAGATCATCATGTAATCGTCGTGGATAATTGATCTAACGGTTACAAACCTCGACGGAATGGTTCCATAACGGGACTGTAGAATCTCCCTGTAATATTATCAACTGTTTTTAACCTGCCAGCCTATGTAGCTCTGTTATAAAAAGGCAAAATTGCAACTTAATACACGAACTTTCATCGTTTTGCATTTTAATCACCACCTTTAAGAATTGGCAATTTAATCACCACCTTATACTTTTTTTGCAAAACGAACCACGACTGACGGTTCCGTTCACAAAATGTTGACTTGGAACTGACAGAAGTGTCGACGCGTTGACGTGGCCATGCTGGAATAAACGACGTCGTTCGACTGTCCATTTTACTTCAAATTCGTTCCCAAAATTTTTTCATTTAACGCAACCCTAATTTTCAAATGCCCTAATTTTCAAATGTAAAATTAACAATAGTACAAAAATCTACAGAATCAAATAGCCCTAATTTTCAATCGTAAAATCTTAAAAATCTGACAAATTCAAAGGTTCGATCTTTCATATGCAAGCATTCGAGCCATTCACCAAATTGATATTTTCGAAATCGAAAAGCTTACATTTCGATATGGACATCTGTAATATCGCCGTAATGGGTTTTTCTCTGTGTTTGAAGTTAAAACATCTGCGTTGACTCCATGGAAACACGCTACACGCCGAGTATCGCTCGAACCAGACGACATTGTGGCAGGTACGTTCGAAGATGTGAAATGAAAATGGAAATTAGGGATTTTGGGATTTAGAAGGGATTAGGGTTTTTAAGTATTTATTCAGATTTTTGATTCAGACGACATTTTTGCAGAAAATGGAGAAGGGAATTTTGAGTTCTGAAAAGAGAAAGGAAATTAGGGTTCTTGTGTGCGTGAAATGAAAATTTTGTGAACGAATTTGATGTTATATGGATAGCAAAACGACGTCGTTTATTCCAGCATCACCACGTCAATGAGACAGCATGGCCACGTCAACGCTCCAAACTTCCGTCAGTTCCAAGTCAGCATTCTGTAAACGGAACCGTAAGTCGTGGTTCGTTTTGCAACAAATGTAGAATGTAGTGATTAAATTGTCAATTCTTAAAGGTGGTGATTAAAATGCAAAACAATGAAAGGTCGTGTATTAAGTTGCAATTTTGCCTTATAAAAACGCGGGGTATTATTGTTTCAGGTTATTCAGCATTATTTTTTAGGGAGATGCCACAGTTCCACGAAGTTATTTCGTCGGCATTTGTAACCGTTAAAACAACTATACTCAACGGTGATGATTTAACGCTTAAAAACCCTGACGAAATAGTTTCGTAACAAAAACGTAGTATTTCCCCTTTTTCTTATAGTCTTCATTTCTGCCTCCATACGATATTTGAAAAATAAAAAATATATTGTGCCTAAAGTTTAGTTATTTTTTTCGCTTTTTGGGTACTAATTGGGGGTGTCTATATGTACAACCCCCTGTGTGTAAAAAAGGGGTGTACATATAGTATTGCCCTTTGTGTAATTTATTAAAAAGGGGTGTACATATAGCATTGCCCTACTAATTTCCTTCTTAATTTGTAACGTTTTGATAAGGTTGTTGTAAAAAGGTGATCGTTTTCGTGGCTAGGAATAGTCGTCCTTTATTATCCCTATATTTCCCAGTTTCTTTATAAAAATTGCTAATTAAAAAGGTTTTCAATAAAAATGAGACCATAAATTTTGAAAAAATGTGTTTAAAATGTTTGTTGTTAGAGGTACTAGGCATGTGATTTGCAATTTGTTATGTATGTATGGGTCCTTCATCATGCTGCATACTCACATGCTTTTTCGCTCAGTTTTTTAATTTTTATTGTACGCATGTTACATGTGGTGGGACCTCAAAGATTTAAGCAGATTTTTTTTTTTTTTTTGGGTT